TCAAGTCCACCTGCACCTGCCGCCGGAAAAGCCGAGGGAAGCTCGACCTGCTGAGCCAGAAGGATTCCTACCACCCCATGGCTGAATACCTCCAGTACCAGAGCCACGGGCGCTACGTGTCCCCCAACAGCAAACCCAACCCCTACAGCCAGGTGAGAGCGAGACCCCCATTCCCCGGGGTCCCGGCTGCTGCAGAGGGCGAGGCAGAGCGGGGGTACATCCCCTGGGTTCTGGGTTAATGGCTAACGGACATGGCAGGTGTCCGGGGAGCTCGTCCGGGAGGCGAGCGTCACATTCACGCCTGGCTGGAGCAGCGTTGGGAGCGGGTGCGCGGCCGGCGCGGGCAGACCCGGCCCGGCTCCGGGGAGCTCCCCGCGACCTTGGGCAGCCCCTCCCTGTGCCCCGCCCCAGCGGAGGCAGGGGGCTCGCTGCCAGCCCACCCTGCCCGTTTTCCTGCTCAGCTGGCTCGCTGACAGACCCGCAGGTCTCTGGCTGTCACAGCATCCTCTGCCGTGGGTGGGAGCAAGGCTGGTGGGGGGCTGAGGGAATGATTCCTGCAGCCATCACCCCTCCAAAACCTGAGCTGCCGGGAGCTGCCTGGAGGCTCAGAGGGGTCCCCAAGGCAGTGTGGGGCTCAGGGACCCGCCCCGTGCTCCCCCCACGCCGGGGCTGTGGGCGGGGGCCGTGTCCAGCTGCTCGGGCTCTCTGCGAGCAGCTCACCCTGTGCAAATACCAGGGGCCTGGGTAAATATTTACCTTCGCACTCGCCAGGCCGGCTTATCGTGCGGGAACACGGCCGGGGCCACCGCGGCTCCTCCTGCGCACGGGGCGGGGGGGCTCGGGGTGTCCGTGGGGGCCCGGGGTGCTCACGGTGCCCACGGTGCCCACGGCTGGGGGCAGCAGCCCACCACGATGGGTGGATGCAGTTTTTGGTTGCCCACAGTGGCCACGGGGAGGGTGTAGGGTTTCCTTTGCTGGCCCAGGGTGGGGGCTCAGCCTTGACAGCCCCTCACCTTTCCTCCCCACAAGGTGGCCGGCAGCAGCACCACGAGAGCCGGCACTTTTACCTACACCAACCCCGCCTCCGGCTCCGACAACCTCTGAGGGACGCGCTGGGAAGGAGGGCGGCTGCCGAGGGGAAGGGGCGGCCGCAGCCCCCCAACTCCCGGGGGAGCAGCACCGGCCCCGGGYACATCCCCCGGTGCTGCTCGGCCCCTCGCCGTGGGCAGCGGGAGCCGGATGGTTCTGGAGCAGCCGGATTCGTGCACATGACAGAACTGGATGAACAAAGATCGGGGGCGGGAGGGAAGGTCCCGCACACCCCCTCGGTCCCCGCAATCGCTTGGCTTTGCAACCCTGCTCCGTGCCGGGGGTGGAGGGCTGGGCTGGTGCTCCCCCTCGGGGATTCAAAGGCTCTTTTCGTGGTGTTATTTTATATAAATATCTCTATTTGCGGGGTGTTGGTGCCGGGCTCGGCTCGGCGGGGTGGCAGGTCCTCGGCGGGGCGGCAGCTCCTCGGCCGGGGTGTATTTACCGCAGTTACAATAAAAGGATGGGGGCAGCCGTGTGTCCCCAGGTGGTGTAACAGGGGGGCTTCTCTGGGACGCTGACTCCCCTGGCGTGGCTGTCACCTCACCCAGGTGGCCTCGGCTTGGGTGTGACCGCTCTCATTTCCCAATTCAGGCAGTCCTGGGGTCGGTGCCGGGGGTGTCACCGTGTCCCTGCTCCCTGCATCCCTCTGGGTGTGACCACTCTCATTTCCCAATTCAGGCAGTCCTGGGGTCGGTGCTGGGGTGTCCCCGTGTCCCTGCTCCCTGCATCCCTCTGGGTATGACCGCTCTCATTTCCCAATTCAGCAGTCCTGGGGTCGGTGCCGGGGGTGTCACCGTGTCCCTGCTCCCTGCATCCTTCTGGGTGTCACCGCTCTCATTTCCCAATTCAGGCAGTCCTGGGGTCGGTGCCGGGGGTGTAACCGCTCTCATTTCCCAATTCAGGCAGTCCTGGGGTCGGTGCTGGGGTGTCACCGTGTCCCTGCTCCCTGCATCCCTCTGGGTG